GTTCAATATAAAGATATGATTTCAGCCACACTTTGTTCGATGTTTTTGTTCGATCCGAGTTAGAGGTAATTTAATCCTTAATCCTAAATCCTTAATAAAATAAATGTGTTGTTTTTTAGCTAAAAATGAATTATATTAAATTAGTAAGAAGTTATACTACATAAGAAAATTTTAAGAATTTACTTACGTGACCATTGAAAGCAACCAATGCCACGAAAGATAAAAGTCCTCCTATGAATTTACCGACGACTCCTTTAGGTCTTAGAAGGGGCTATAATAATAAGGTAATTTTCAACAAAATCCCGAATCAAAACGCCTATATTTTTGATTACAGATTAGAATTATAAGAACCTATATTTATATAGTATATGTCATCTGATTATCAGGTTAAACTTTATCGGACTGTCGTACTTACGACTTGTCGTACCAATGATACGTTCATCCCCTATTGTTGGTGCCAGAAGAGCACCAGGCTTTTCTAAAACAAAACAGGGAACAACTATCATAGCATAAAACAGTACGTCGTTTTCGCAATTCAAACGTAGAATTAGCTACTATTCAATAGCCTTGTGTTGGGCGAACCGTCATGAAGACTGAAAACTTCTTTTTTGCACAAAACGCACAGTCTATGTTATTGCTAAGGCCTATGCAGGCTCTTAAAAATTCAAGAGAGATTTCCGTGAGGTAAACCGGAAGATTTTTAATAGATTTGAAGTTTAAAGGGTTCAAAAAACCGGCAAATGTTTCATGAAACCATTTTAATGATTTGGATTTTTTATACAGAACTAGATGGTTGTTTTGAATAGCCGAATGTTATATGTCAAGTAAGTCGTTCTGATAAGCTCGAACGTTTAGTCCCTTTAAGACTATGTGCCATCTTTTTTTGGCGTTTTCGAGCTTTTGTATTTTCAAAACTTTCGACCTCCTGCCAGCCCAAAACTAAATTCAGTTAGGCTTTTTCGTATAAAGTGTTTTTGAACAACACTTTAACAAATTGACGCCTATTTATATCGCCTGGCACAGGTATCATTGAAAAAAAATTATTGCATAATACGACTTATTCGATCATTATGTTTTTAAGATATTATTGAATAATGCAGGCCCCAAAATGAAGAACTGAAGTTGTAATTGCGTTAAGTGAGAACTCAGTGTTTCGAGTTTTGGTGTCGTCGTTAAGCATTCTAGAAATAGTGATAGCTATATGATATAAACAGGACTGCTAGGAATAACACTTCTAGCATCTACAAAAAAAATCGTTCAAATAATTGTTTTTGTTTCGATACAGATGCGACTTGATACAATGAGGCTTGCACACTGCATGAGAGAAACAGGCAGACACGCAAAACTGACTTGGCCTGTTCTCTGGATCAGCTGGAACTTGGAGTCGCGCATGCTTCTCCTGTAGCGGAACATTAAACGCTGAAACCTCGAAGCCTCTAACTTCCAATTCACGTTTTTTATGACATTCGATGTTTTTTTTTTATGAAATTTAAACTGCGTGCATGTAAAATTTAAACTATGTGCTCAAGTGAAAAAAAATATTGAGGCGTACAAAGGTTTAAGTGAATCATACAACCACTTAGATTCCATAAGTATTCGTTAGGTATTCAATTAACGAAAATTAGAAATATAATTTTACCTAAAAACATGGAGGTGGTTGTCTCGGTCGATATACTCGTTGTCCAATATATTATTAATAGGGGTCAACTGTCAAACACCGTGGTCCCCAACCAGGATGTCACGCGCAGGTCAAACAAAAGATCTATCCATCACGTGAGACTCTGGTTCCGTTGGCAGAGCAAAGCTATACTTTTATGAAATTTTAATTTCATACGTTATTTGTCAAACACGCGTATCTGCTATGTCGCGCTGACTAGTTGAACATGACTTCATTTTGACATTTGCACTGTGTGGTACAATTTGCGAGAATGACGTGTCGAAAAAATTTCTCTTTGATTACCCAAAATATCGGATATCCGCAACCCAAATGATAAGAATAAACTGCTACGTATGTACGGTATGATTGCCAGAAAAAGCCTCACTGAGAGAATTAGCTTTTTCGGTTACCCAAAATTAACCATGCACGGCATCGCGATGGGGTATGGAGAACAAACTAAAGCTGGTTTCAGCACAGCGCAAAAAATATACGACAACAAAAAAATTGTGCAGACTCCAAAATTGCATCTTTGATGATCTCCCCGTCATAAATGAAAAAGTTTAAACAAACATGACTTCCAAATCACTGATTGTCTACGAAAACCCTAGCTATATTTCGTGTGTCATAAAAGCCAGACAGATAGTCTTTTAGGCCAATAGAACTCGAACTTGCTCGATATAATTTGTTCCGAAGTTCTCTTAAGAATGTCGTGATAAGTCGTGCGCCATTTTTTTCTGACGAGAAAATGTTTAGCTTAATGCAAAACGCAGAAACAATCGTTAACTTGCTCACAATCAATGAGATGCGCCCGTTATAAGTAAAAGTAATTTCCTGATCATTGTTTATGCTTTGAGTGTGGCGTGTAGTTTTTATTTTAAAAAGGCTAACATATCACCAAAGAGGTTTACCTGCATGGTCACACTTTTGTGCAACTGTAGACAGCGGAAGTCTTTGAAGGAAAACCTTGTGCTTTCCCGCATGATGTACGATGGTATAAGGCTCATACTAGCCAATTTGCCGGCTGGGTCTTAACGCACTTGTATGTACGCCCGGTGTTGAACCTAAACGACGTTGTCACAAATTTAGTAGGCAAACACGTTATCACTGCACGATCAAGAAGACTAGCCGATCGATCCGTTTTTTTTTTGTTATTAGGTTTAATCAAAATCGGCTGCTTTAGAGGCCAGGCATGACAGACACATGGCCCCTAAACGGCCGATCCGCTAGATTACCACATGTCGTTTTACTAAGCAAGAGCCTAAAAAGTTTCTACATGAACACATTTTTGCTTACTTCTGCTAAAGAAACGTTTGCAGAATTAAATATGATAACGTTGAAATGAACCTAAGATTAATTTAGGTTCTGAATTTAAGGTGTGAGCAGGATAGAGGTTGTATAAAATGAAGATAATCGTCAGGATCGTACAAGGAATACCTTTGGCTGAAGTAACTGTTAAATAAAAAAACAAAATTGAAAACATTAAAAAAAACAAAATTGTGAAGTCGGTCGCCCTGCGCATACAATATAATGCTGTAATAAGTCACATACACACCGCTCAATACGGCATAGTGTGACTGACATGTGCAGAGAAATAATATATTACCTAGATATTATGATCGTAACTATAAAATAGAATTAGCAGTATAAGGATGCCGGTGATTACTAGAAAACAATGAAAAGGATGTGGGTCCGCTGCCAACCTCAACAGTAATTATCTTCAGCCATCTAATCGTCAGGCCCGTTAGTAGTCACTGAGACTAACGATGCAAGGATCAGCGTACGGCAAAATAGAACTGAGCGGAAACTTGCAGCAGTGAAAGCGCTTGCTTGAGTACTGAATTCTTGTTTATGTTTAGAGGGTGAAAACATTCGAGTAGCCCCAAATTAATCGTTTGATATTTATTAGCAAAATTGTCATTGTTACTGGACATGAGCTTTCGTCATGGCACAATTTAGACAATACTTAGACGTCCATTCACAACGTTAATAGAAAATAAGATGTCGACCGGAAAGTTCTAGCCGATTTGAAAATCGTTTATGCTGTTCATGATATAGTACATCCTGTGGATAAAAGCATTACGTTACACTGAGAAACATTATATCAATTCTGGAATTGAGCCTTCCTTTTAGGACCTTAATGACATCGATGAACAAGTTTCGATATCTTGGTTTATAATTATAGCGCAAACTCTGTGTACAAGATCCGAAATGTAGCTACCCGTAGCTAACTGAGAACACCCCAAACCCACCGTAGCTCACACATGATTTAGTTAGAACACTTCCGTGGCCAACAAATTTCCTTCCACGATCTTGTACGTACCTCATAACACAGCCACGCAAAAATATTGAGAACGTAATACCTTCCTAAATGGTTTTCAAGTTTTGTGTTAAAACTGTGCAGTATTATAAAGTTCTGACAAAAATGGTACTTGGTTTACAATTCGTGACCTATAGGTCGTTTAAATTAACGCATTCTGCTATCATAACTACAGCTACTCTAATGCTTTAGCAGCTCGATAAACTTGTCCCGGTAATCTCGCTACCAGACGATCCAAAGCCCTATATAGGAAACAATAATCAAAATAAATTAAAATTTATTATTATTAACAAATGAAGACGCACCCACCGGAGGTTAGATATGTGTCACTTTTATGCTTTAATTACAAGAATTATTTTTTACAAAACATTCGGCAGCACCTCACCTGGCACCTCGTTAGCCGGCATTTTTTCTCGGCTTTCGTTTTCCATTCTTTCATACCCGTTTTCACATTCCACCGTCCTTCCACACCGTTTTCACATTTTTTTCATCATTATTCTTTCTCATCTTTTCCTACGAAATTATGTTTATCACGTACTTCCAACATTGTGGCCATCTTATAGAGAATAGCAAAAAAGACAGTTTTTATTAGATCGATTCTCGGTGCTTGAGTTTCGACCAATAAGAAACTGGGAGGATTTAGGAAGGGTCTTCTCCCTTTTCCAGCCTGGCATTATCATCATCATTATACCGACAAACCTCAAAAATATACACCCAGGTAGATACAGCTTTCCATTTCTGCTGCCCTTGAACTAACCTGGGTGCACATTCATTAAGCTCCATATTCTCAGCGGAGCTTAGCCTTTCTACTCAACTGTACCACTAACTACAAACTTTTAAATCTGTTTGATACACCACAGTCACGGCTCAATTATCTTCCGACTATGCTCACCTCCGCGTGCAATAGGTGAATTTAAACACCACAGTCCAAGTACAAACTTGTAATTTCGTCTCGCAAAATTCGTGCAACCTTTCGGGGTATTGTTGTTGTCATTACTGTCAGTTCTAATGGTACCTGATTTTTCTTTATTATTATTATTATTCAGCAAGTTACAAGAATCAATTCAATCGAAGTAGATCAACCGATCACCAAAGAAATATTCTTGTTCATTCTAACGTCTCTATATATTTATATGAGCCAGCCTTAAAGGTCGGTTAAAGAAAAAGTAGGCCGACAGTGATGCCGCGGCGCCATCGTGCCAATAAAGGTAGCAACGCTACAAACAACAAGGATAACGACGCCAGCTACGTCGATACTCCATGATCACGTCCTTCTTTCAGGAGCATCCATCGTATATAGAGAACATGGTATGATACAAGAGACTGCCAAGATCATCTCAGCCATTATTTTTTTTATAATGTTGCGGCTGCGATACACTCATACACATAGATTTACATGCTGTTCCTCAGTCTCACTAGAAACGACGACATAGACGGGCAGACAAAACATATGCACCACAAGTGTTGACAGTGATGATATAGGAACGGCTATAGTAATAGCAGCAATAATCCATTAATGATAATGACAACAGTAATAACCCATTAATAATAATTATAATAAGTTGAAAGTGGAATTTTGGGATACGAAATGAACGTGATGAGTTAGCACTTAGAATATTGTGTCTAAATATAGCGGTTACCTATCGCACGCGAACTTTGCACGAGCTACTAAGATAGTCGGGCTGTGGCTGTGATAGGTCGAACAGCTTAAGAACAAAATCAAGGCAGCATAGAATGAAATGAGTAAGGCTTTCGAAAAAGTCAATGGGTCAAGCTGAGTAAAAGGACTGAACTCTGCTAAGAGTATAGGACCTAGGGCTTGTGTATCTGAGTTTGTATGAAGGAAACAAAGGGACAGCTGCATTTGGGTGTGCATTTTTGGAGGCTTGTCAGAAATATGTATATATATATGTATGTGCTATTATCTTCCCGTTATGCCAGCAATGCGCATTGTATTTATCCAATACCTACGAACTAGTAATCAGACAGTACCGCACCCGTAACTACTACTATAGCAGCATTGGTATGTACCTGCACGTATCTGTCTGCCTGTCTCTGTCGGCGTCGTATGATGGTTTCTCGTGTCCTTGACGTTATCCATGTTGTCGTTTCGAACGAGACTGAGGAACAGCATATATACGTATGTGCATGCGTGTATCGCAACCGCAGAGATGATAGCTGAGATGATGACCGTAGCAATCCCTTGTCTCATAATATCTTCTCTGTATGCGATAGATACTCCTGGAAGAACGACGTGATAACTGTACGGGAGTATCGACTTAGCTGCCATCATCATCGTTGTTTTTTGTAGTGTTGCTTTTGTCATTGATGCGACGACGCCGCGGCATCACTACCGGCCTACTTCCTCTCTAACTAGCCCTTAGAGCTGGTTTCTACGGCGAGGCAACATCTTTCTTGCATCGGTCTTTTCGTCCATTTGCCCGTTTTGCGCATTCACTGATATTCTTGTAATAATTTGCTTACGTTTATATAGCAGTTGTAATAAACACAGTTCAGTCTCGCGTGCGTTTTGTTTTCAATTAAGCCTGCTCCTTCTACTCTCCTCCTCAACAATGGTGCAGAGCCAAGCGGAAAATGTCATGCTCAAGGTAGAATGAATCTCCGATTGGCTTGAGAATAAACACTTGGTTAAACGAGTGCGGTGGGTCGTCATCGGTCTGAAACAAACAGAGGGTTAACACACGAAGGGGATACAACAGAACTAGTTAAAATATTTCAACCACTTTCTAATAACTCGAAATTTAATTTTCATTTTGTAATGCAGTCACCGAAATATGGTCCAAATGTAAAGTATATGCCTCCACTGTCATTTTCCCGTCACTGCACTAAATGGACAGCAATACTAACTACATTCTGAAAATAATTCATTAAATGATATATTGTTCAATTTAGGCAAGCGCTAAATGTACATATAGGTTCGTATGCATGTTATGATAACAAGGCTAATTCCATGTAGTCGCATATAAGTTCATATCGCATATAAGGTAATTTGAAATCAAGAAGTGAGTCAGCGCAAATCGATAGCAGGTGTTATTTCCGATGCAGTCAGTCATGACATTAAGTGGAACGTGTATTGAATTTAAACATCTAGAATTACCTTAAGCTGTCCCAGTACGACGATCATAATTCCACCATCAAACATTGGTTGACAGTCTGTAGCCGTGATTAGGTGCTGGATCTTCTGAAACGTCAGACCCTGGAACTTCTCCATGATCTTTGTTCGACCCAAAAACTGCTGGCCTTCAAAAGTCATCATACTTTTTTCCTCCTGAAATTATCATCGGAAAAATAAAGTGGACTTCTCAAAGAGATAACGGCTTTCCAAAGGTCGTTTCCTAGCTACAGCAGAAAAGCCTTCACATTTCAAGTCCTGTACGGCAGAAAAATAACTATTCTCCATTCATTGTATCACAAACTTTTAGCCAAGTGTGTTAACATATATAATGGGACACAACAATTCTGTGTGTGTTTGACAATCAGAAATGTCTCATAGCGATGGGGAACACAGGAAGACAGATTATATTCCCTTTAATTTCATAATCCCATTCCTAGAGTAATAATTTGCGGCTAATTGTATTATTCCCATGTTTTTTAGCCCGTAACTCATTTCTTTGCTAATAATCCTAATTTAGCATTTCTGAATTTGGTTTAAGTACTGTGTATGCATTATCATTGTTTTTATAATAACTGTCAATTTTAAGCCAGAATAGGAATCTGCTAATTTGGGAAACTCTGAATACATGTTACTTCTTCGCATAACGATGATTGTTTTTAAATCTGCTCAATATACTTCTAAATTTGACGGAAAGCGGTCTCTTTTGAAACGACTCTAAAATGTTTCCAGTTACTTCATGACAGAGCGGCTATGCTTTACTACGCTTGATTCCTAGGGTAGCCACTATTCAATGACTGCACTCACTTGGGCACTCGTACGAGCAAAAACATTCCACGTTAACTGTACAACAGGCATGACACGCCTTAACGCGCAGTTCTATGGATATTGACAATAGATGTTCCAAGTTCAACAACCGGAGTGACAGCATTAGTAATGCTAACGCTGTCACTCCGGTTGTTCATTGCCACCTGACTCATTGCAGTGCTTCTGATACTGCCATGAACTACTTCAGTCGTATTAAATAGAACACCCCGCAAACCCGTTCAAGGAATGGAAGCTCACTGATAACACTATCTGTTATTATAAATCTGTTTCCCAATTCACTTACCTCGCAATTCAACTAATTGATGTGAGATTTGCACCAGAAGATTGCAATGTGGTTGGCCCCAAATGTTTTTCTGTATTTAATATAATATGTATAAATTTATGTATGGCATTTGGGCCGTTAGACATTACTGCAAGCATTCCTGCCAGTACAAAACAAAGTGTGTCTACGCTCAGATTCGAACCTAGGCCACCACGTGTTTACAACTTCAGCAGGCAAACATGTTACCCGTTGCATTATCACAGGACGCGTTCTACCGTTTGTTCTAAACGTCTATTGCCCTTAAAACGATTCAAGCAAACCCTACAAATTCAGAAAGGCCCAACGGGTTGTCGGTCTGATTCATGTTGGGGCCAGCGTTGTTTTTCAGGCAAACAAACCCTTTATCAACACACCACTCCTCGGTTGGCATTATCAGCAAGCTATTCGATGAATTTCAACTCTCCCGGGCTGCCGATGTCGCCATCTCGCCATAACTCCCCGCTAAGCAAACGCAGCAAGAATAGGCTGGGCCCTTGCTAAATAGGAACTATGGTGCTTATTACATGTTCTGCATTTACCCATTGTATTTCATACAGTTCGTAGGTAACATGCTCACACAAACATCGACACTATTGTAGGCAGTAGGCGCAAAAGGGACCGGAGTTAAGAGTAAAGAGGGTTTTTTTAGACAGTTAATGTCATTACGGTTGAGTTATTATCAATGACTCCTAATATATGCGACGCCTGCTATCGTTATGTGCAGTCCATATACGCGGACCAGAATAGGTTACTAAAAACCGTTGCCCTTTTATTATTGCTTTTATTATAAAATGATGGAAAATATGCACGATGCAACTCAATAACAACACGCAGAGGACTTGATAACTAGCAAAAGAACGTTTATGAAGACCTTATACGAATCTCATAAGGACAACCAGTCTTCGCAGCATCGTATCTGAGCTGCTTGCCGACTTCTTTACAACGAGATATATAAAAAAAAAAAAAAAAGCTAAAGCTCGGCCAGCCTTCACCTCTGAACATACGGTCAATGAAATTGAGAGTCGCAAGAGGAAAAATCAAACACCATGGCTGCTCCTCTGTACGTCTGTACGCTTTTCTGTGTTGCTTTTCTTTTGAAGCTTTGTTTACCTGCTGTTATCTGTGTAAGTCATCGTCAAAAAGAACTAGAAGGAAGATCACTCAACACTGTAGAACACGCTGCACATCGATAACTGCCCGTGTTCAGGTACACGCAACAAAAACATTCTTCACATTTAGCTAACATCAGCACGAAGAACAATTTCTACTTCAACTCACATTGTAAAAGTTGGCGAGGTTACCCCGCTGGTTTACATCATCGAAAAATCCGTAGTACTGCGTAATGAACGATTTACCAATCGTGTCATACTGTGGGTTGAGCGCGGGCGCCGTCATTGCGCTTGCTTTCTACTTGCTTTCGACAATTCGATATGATGAAGTCAACTGCTGCCAGCCGCGGGCACAGAAGAGTCAACCCTCCAACAACGAACGATCACCACTGCTGCTACGGCCGGCGGAACTAAGCTACGCTGGCTTGGCCACAACACGACCGCACGTTCAGTACAAATCGAAACCACTGCCAAATTCAAGATGGCCGTCGGTAAAGGCCGATCTATGGCTGCGTCAGCGGCCGACCGCGCTAAATTTGAACAGGCGGCCGAAACTCGCCAACAGAACCAGCACATGCGTGGGCGAATACCATGCAAAAATATGGGTACAGCTTAGCGCCGAAAGGAAACACACAAAAGTCAATATAACAACCTGGAAAAGCTGGGACTCGAATATGACAACACTCCCAAACATTAATATAAAAAAGATTTGGCGTTAGAGAAAGTTATGTGTACAAATATAATTTATACAGGTTTTTGTTATAGGAAGGTGAGAAGATTCGAAAGGAGAACTAAATAAAACGAAATAAGCTGACAACTCGGTGCTCGATAGCTTTATCCAAAATTGGCAACAGATAAAACTTCAACAAAATAAATTACGACAGTATTCATATTCGCGTAACACAAACATATCGAGCACTTCTATGATGCGACTGGGCAATTTATTTCAAACCTATTTTCTTTCTTACCTATCCGTTTTTTAAAACCTTATAATTTTCGGACAAATATTCCACATAACGCTATGATCGCGTTACCGCCATCGCGTAAGTTTTACACACATACGTATACATCAATATGTAAACTTTTTCTCAGTAGTATTTAAATTGTTTGGCTTAAAATGTACGAACTCAGAATTTCGCATTGTAGAATGATCTCTGTGTCGACATATTTCAAGTGTGACGTACTACTATTATTATCAAATGTTATAAGTATATACTGTTTGCATAAAAAAAAAGTAAATTGATTTAATTATGTTGTATATCTGCTGCTTCTTAGTGAAGTGAACGATTGTATAGTTACAGCAGCTGGAAATACTTTATGCGTTCCCTTTCATTTCACAACCGTGGATAGCACAACAACAATCAGTTTGCCTTTATCGCACTACTGGCCGCTTGTATGCTGTGTATTTTGACCGAATGGTAAATATTAAGGATTTGAAATAAGCTGAAACGAACTCCTTCAACGATCTTAGCAACGTCAACAATTACTTTTGGTGATTGCATCCTAGGACTCTACGGGGCAAAATCATTGGTTGAATGCACCATTGGTAGCGTCGAACTTGTCGCTTTGTCCTCGGCCCGTCATCAACCAATCAGTCACTAATGTTTCAATGACTGACAGCACATCAATGACGAGCATACATAGTTCATGATTGACATCATGGTTATTTTCGGTCGTAGGTACAGAAATGGCCGTTGAACCGAATAGACCAATTGTAACCACCCGGTGTTATTAATAAAGCAGCTCTTCCTGACGAACTTCGGCATCCCTTATAACAGGTTTACATTCTACAAGCGTTTGTGTAGCCAACAATGCGCTTACTACGCATATGTGACCGGCGGTCGTTGCGACGAGCGCCATTTAAAAGCCTATTCTTCAAATGTTTCATCCTCTTGATACCGCTGACATCAATCGAGCATAATTGCTGGTCTGTATCTACCGAATAGCGCAACTACTTAACTGAACCGCATGCACTTCGGCTAGAATTAATCACCTCTCATTCCAAATGAAGGCTGAAAACGATGGCGCCGCTAGCTATGCGTGTCGAGATGCTGTCGACGACGAGATCGATGTATATACATGTCACATAATGCTTGCAAAACTGTGAATAATAAATTGAACAGCTTCACTACACATGGCCATTACGAGCAATAACTAGTAGTCAGCAAATTTGTCATTGGCCAAATAGTCCGTGGATGACATCGCCCAGCTAATCGACAACAACACAAGTGTCTACCGAGAAGTCAGGGTCGATTTTGGTCATTTACTGTTCACCGTTCTTCCTGTTGCCTGTTGTGAAGCTCTTGCATGTCCCTGAAAAGCATCTGGTCCATTTTTTCGGTCCCTTGTCCTTGTCGGGTAAGCTAATGGCATATCATCAATGGGCAGCAACAATCAACCGATTGACTGACTACTCTCGGTCGGAGCCAGCTGAAATGATAGTAAAACTATAATTGTGCGAACTTAAGATGGTTCGGTACTTCATAGTAGTCATTGTCGTTGTTTGCGTCACCTGTTACGTCGTGAAACTGTACGCAAGGTTGAGATGTACACCCGAGTCTAAATCCAGTGCAACTGCCAACACGTGCATCAATGCATAATTGGAAGCAGTTGCTTTTTTTAACGTTGGTTCTTCTCTAGTCGTATACTAGAATAGCTAGCTGAAATCCGCTGTCGCTGAAAATGACCAAGGGGGCCGAAGCGAGACTATTTTAACATAGCGTATCTGTTGGCTTTGCGAGATATTACAGGCACTTGTTGCACCTTTTTAGCGCAACAGAACCTCGACCTTGTTGAGAGATGACGTTAGAGCTTTTCGATAATCAAAAAGGCATCAGAGATCAGAACCCTCAATGTCTGACAGAATCCGACTGTCTACACCCTAATAGAAAATGCCAAATTCAATGACAACGTAGCATATCGAAGAAGATGGCATCAAATGGTTAAGAATCCGACAGGACTCTTTAATAGCTGTCAGGAACGATGTTATGGCCTTTAGCCGACGTATACTTATGTATAAAACGAGTAAAGTTTCTGTAGACATATATATATATATATATATATATATATATATATATATATATATATATATGTATATACCGTCTCAAGCATAGCAAGCTAGATGTTGACTACTTTGGCCAAATAAGAAAAATTATATCTAAATATTGTTTATAAGAATAACTTTCTTACGTGCCGGAGGTAGGAGCGCATCCTCTGTAAGCGGTGGGTCATTTTTCCACACTTCGTTATCATTGTCACAGCGTAGGTTGAATTGCGATAGTCCCCCAGTCCTGTTGCTGAAAGTGAACTGTGAATATCCCGTAACCAGCCTTTCTGACATTTAAGAGTAAGGTGACGACTGTACCTCGTCAGATAGTCTAACGATGTTCAAAATGACGTAAAGTATTCAGTGGTTCCTGAAAAATAATTGTTGATTTTACCCTATTTACTCTTAATCTTTTCCATGTGAACAAGCGTCTCCATATGTTATTTTCGAATAGATTAATAGCATGTTTACCCTGGTGGACCTCTGAAAAAAGTGATGAAAAGTGCAATAATCAATATGCGAAGGTAAATGCGGCAGCTATAAGCGTTTGAAGATCTAGAAGCCTATGGGGCTTGCGAAGTGTGACTGGTCATTGCCTCCAACCATACCGATGATATCTGCAACGATGCTCGCCTAGGGGTGTTTGGGCAGCTTGGAAAGCTGATTGAAAACACACTGAGCATAATTAGAGGGTAGGGAGGTCTCGCGAATAAAGGAAACATTTGGTTTCTATTTGTGCGTTGTTATCTGTTATTTTCCGATTGTTACTTGCTCATGAATCTCCTTCGGTGTTCTGGCAGCCAGCCGTCGTACATGCAGGCTTCCACAGGAGACTCCGCTTTGTTTGGAGATGTTTATTATAAGTAACCGCAAGCAATCATCATGGTTCTTGCGGGCGATGGACGCTAAAGAATTATGAACGCTCTCTTTATGATCTTGCTTCTCTAGTGGTCGGGGAAGGGTGCCCTCGACTCTTTAATGGACAGAAAATATTGGTTATTTCGCACACGCTCGAAAGAAAACCAGCCAGAGGTTAAGTCAACGACTCCGTAGAACAAGGACCTTGCTAGGTAGGGACCCTCGAGTTCGATTCGATTTATTGAGCAACAACAAATGTATAATTGGCCATAGGCCATATCGTCATTTCGGTTATGTGAGAACAGTGTACATGCTAACGTTTTCGCTACTAAACCGATAAATCTATGTAATATCGTTCGAGAATTTCAATAAAATTCAAGGTAGAGCCTGAAACAAAATAGCGTTTGTCTTTGTGTGGCAATGCAAATTATTCAAAGCTCTTGTAAGTGTTGGTCATAAATGTATATAAGGTCTCTTTCGCCAGAGCGTTCAAAAGTAATAAGAAGGTGTCACCGATTGTACGTCGTTTACGAGCCGAACTACTCGATGAGTTCACAGATATGTGCTAAGCTACTGCTATGGTATTTTTTTGGAGAAATTTGTTAACGCCGAAACCCGGGTCTAAAGCAGCCAGTTGCTTGTCGGATCTAGTTTTACTTAACTTGACAACGATGCCTTATCCCTGATTACCATTTGTCGCTCAATATTATTATTATAGATAGTTTTGTAACGTAGGTTTTTTGTACTGAATTTTCACAATTCTAAAAAAATCTGTGTCTATTCGATTTGACCAAATGTGTTCAAGTTATTTCACAGTAAAAATATACGTCGGATTACTAGGATTTCTAGTGATCAATTTAATGTCGAATATTTTTTTGTGCGCTCTCGAAATAAATTGTGATTGTGTGATGTACTATGTTTTCGTAGTACACGTACGATCCTTACCCATAAACAACTGCAGGAGATTACGACAGTTATCGCAAGAAAGTGAGTCTTACCGTTTATACTGGTCGTTCGCTAGCACTCGCTACCTGGCGACTCATTGACTCCGCAGGATTGTGTGTAGAATACTGTCGCTACGCGAGGACTATATAAGATGGCGCCTCTAAACTAAGTATCTCTATTTCGCTTTGTTTCTCAGACTGTATCTAGGGGAAATGCAGGTTTTTTAGCGATTTTTTTTGAGCGTGCTTAAGGCGTCATGTCTGACGGTCATGCCTACTCAACGCAACCACTATTTATTGCGATTACAGCTTCAAATCGAAACCTAAATGATTCATTTACCATTTTGTTTTTATAAGCATTCTTCCTTTGACCCGCAAATAAAGTTTAGTAGTAGTCGTACAACAAATGGTATTGCTGGGTGCAAATTTGCTGAAATGTCGCTCGAATACACTTCAGACAAGAAAATCTATAGTAGGTTGTAGATTATCAGCAGACCAAAGGCCCAATAATGCACAAGCTTCAAAGGGCCAGTCGAGCACAAAGGTGCAGAAAGTCACAAAAGGACGACCAAATGAATAATTAACGCTGTGCTATTGAAAAT